AAAAAAAAGTGAGAGTCATTTTTGCAAGCCCCTCTGATCCGATAGAATCTAAATGTATCTAAATGTAAAATTGACCGATGGAATCATTGCAAGTGGGCCAAGCAACATGAACCAGTGAAAACCTGGGGTGCAGGACTGGCAGTACGGCAAACTGTTTGCAGGGTATGTCGTGAGTTGCAACATGGTTTGCGAATCATCAACGCACTCCCAACAGCTGTTGCAGAAGCCTTCCGAGAGAGGCATTCGTCCAAAAAGACGAGACTTTTCTTTACAGTAATTTGTCCAGCGAATGCTTGCATATCAGAATGTGCATTTCTATCTTCAGAAAACATCAAAACCTGTACCAAAAAGTACAGAACAATCCTCTACCCAAAGTGAAAGCGGAAGAGCCGCCGGGCTAGGTCGGTGGCTGGTCCAATCGTCCGCTGCTGCTCTCCTTGGCCATCCATTCTCTCTCCCTCTGCTGCATCTCGTTGGGAGGCCACGGGGGCCCGCGCGGCTCCACAAGCACCTCGCAGGGCTGAAACCTTGCAACCAGCACCTCCAACGAAACATGCACATCCATTGTATGCGCATGTAGTGCATGTATGTCTGTACTAGTATGTATGTGTATGTGTATGTCTATTTCTGTCTGTGCATGTCACTGTCGACATGTACGTCGTCCGTGTATGTGTATGTGTTTTGCTATGCAATGCAATGTTTTGGAATGTCATGTAATGATTGTAATGTATGTGCCACGAAGGCATCGAGCCAGTGGCTTGCGCCGCAAGCCGTAAATGCCAGCCACCTTAATCAAGAAACGATGCAACAGTCCGAGCACATCAAGGGATTTGGTCCTCACTACTCCACAAGGGGTGGCCGCCGCGATCTAGCACAGGGCAGCCGGCGGCCAAAGAAAGCAAAGCAAGGACGCCCTTTTCGCAAAGTCACTCAACCTCAGCACTCCCCTTAATCAGAAAGGCCATGGTGGAGGGCCCTCTTGCGCACGCTCTCTGGTTCACACCAGACAAGCGCAACTGCCTTGGACAGCGAATCCAGCCATCACCAGCGGCAAACTTCAAAGCACTCAGCGCACTCTGCACCCCCACTCGAGCGCGCGCAAGAGCAAGTAAATCCAGCAGCGGATCTGAAAGGCCAAAAACAGATTTGGATTGGGGCACGCCACGGGCTACAGGACAAACACACATGCACACACACAACATATATATATATATGTACATTTACATAATCATTCATGTCATTCGTGTATAATATAGTATACGCATAGGTATGCCAAAACAATCCAAGATCAGTGGCTTTGGAAAAGGAATCATGCATTTCGCGACCCCCTTGGTTCTGGACATGTCTGTCGGTGTCTGTTCTGGACATGTTCAGAAAATCACGCTTGAGTGGATGAAATTACATCGTCTTGGTAGATCTTGCATCGTTTCATCGATTGCGGATCGCTGTGCATCTGCTGTGCATCTCGTGACCGAAAGACCTCGCGGGTCCCGAGTCCGGCCTTGGCCGATTCGCTGGGCAGGCTCCGTCGGGCAGGCTCTGCCCTCGGCTCTGCCCTCCTCGAGTGGGCGACAGTCCTGGCCCTTGGGGCCACGTCGCCCTCAACTTCTTCCAGTGTCTTCTCTGTCTCTGCAAAGGTGTCTGCCTTCTTCCGCGCCTTGACTTCAGCTCTCCTGGCCTTGACTGGGCCCTCTGTTTTCAACCCCTTGCCTTCAATCTTCTTTGCCTTGAGAGGAGCCAGTCGCTCCCGTGCTGCTCTTCCACGTGCCACATCAGCTCGAATCCATTCCTCAGGAAAGCCGAAAGGCAGGCCGTCTTGCTACACAGCTGAGCCGAAGGCCCAATGACAAGTACAACCAAGAATATATATATATAACTATATATTAATATATGTGTTGGGTCTATCCTATTACCTGGGCCCGATGATGATGGTTGGTAAAGGCCTTGTTCAAAAATAGTGTATACATTTTGATATATTTTGTCTATACTGACGGTTACAGGTAGTAGGACAGACCACTAATGATACATAATATATTATATATATATACCTAGAACCCATTTGACCTCTGTTCTCATAGGAAAAAACATGTTTTGGGTCAAAAACAGGGGTCAATCAGGTTCTAGGTACGTATATATATATATATATATAGTATGTTTTTCTTTTTCTAAATGAACTACTCTTACAAAAGGCGGACAAAAGCATGGGGTTGTATCAAGAACCAGCTGCAAACAGTACACAATCCGTTTCTCCAACTGATCTCTACCCATCCAACACTCCTGCCCCCCCCAAATGCAGCTCCAAATCAATCTCTTTGGCCCACCGCCCTTCCTCTCCTTTTGCCGTCCTCTTGGAGGACCGGCTCCGCCGCGCGGACCCCCACGCGTCCTCCACGTCCTGCATGAGCAAGCATGCGGACCGCGGGGAGCGAGCAAAAGCAATGCACCGGTGGGGTGTTAGGGGGTGGTGGTCTAGAGTCTACGCCATCGAGTGGCAAACGCCATGACGCGGAGGGGGGTGGTGTGTCAAGTGCCAGGAGGCCATGTGTCAAGTCTTGATGCGGAGAAATGTGCTTGGCATCCCAAACAAAAATCGTTTTGGATGAGTGGCGGCAGTCTTTCGGATGCTGGGACGTGCAGAACGAGGGCTGGAATCCTTGCATACAGGATGCTGTGGTGCTGCACCCATGCTGACTCTTGAGTGAGAACGAACTGCGAAGTGCATATGGATGTTGAGAGCAACATGTCACTCGAATCTCTCGAATACGAAGGACATGTTCCTGTGACCAATGACTCTCCTTAGAACCCTGCATGCAGCATCATGCAGCAAGACAATTGGGCTATTGCACCATTTCTTGATCATTTGATGTCGTTTGATCAGTCTGGCCCCAAAACGCACGGGCCGGATTGCTATGAGCAGGTCCGGGCTGCTATGAGCAGGTCCTTCTGCAACCACTGTCGGTCATCAAACTTTGGGACATGCGAACTGCCCTTCTTCGCCAACCTTGGGACGGGCGGCCTCTCCTGCCGCGTTTCCGGTGTGACGCGATCAAACAGAAAGGTGAACATTGAGCAGGGTGTATAATGGGTGCCTGTTGGCTTGGCTTTTGGTTCTGAGTCTTCCCAATTCCAGAACGAACCCAAATATGACAGCGTGAGACAAAGGACACGAGATTGAAGGTGTGAGAGACATCCTTGTTGTGATCTGTCGGGGTCCTCGACATTGGAAGATTCAGCCTTGATTTCAAAGGGCTTCTCACTGCTCCTTGCAGGGTTGCACATGTCTTCAATCTTGACTCTTGGAGACTCAAGGCAAATAGTGATTGAATTCAAGCAGCGTGGAAGGAACCTCCCCGCGCGGACGCGCAGCGCGAAAACGCGCGTCCCCGGTTCGGTCCCCGTTTCAGCCAGCTCGAAGTACTGGGGAAAGCGTGTGAGACGCTGGGCGGGAGACATCGAGCCAATGTCATCAGGCAGAACTTCGAAGTGGCGCATGGCCAATAGCACACCCTGCCTGGACTGGAGCTTAGACTGAACAAAGCTGAGACCATCTGCCGGAACCGTCAAGTGGATAAGAAGGAAGCTAGCTAGTTATCTCACAAGGAACCCAGTTCAGCCCCTGTTCCACTTCATTGTACAATGACAGCGCTAATTGCAAAGCCGTGCTTTTATCATCTGTTATCTCGCCAAGTTACACCAAGACTTTCACAGTGTATGTGCCAGCAGTTAGCTGACTTCCCAAGTAGCGCTCCCAGATTGGGACCGCTTCTTTCAGCTCTCCTCCACCTCTGAAATGGACAATGCCATCCTCATCTTCCCATCGGGTTTCAAGAAGTCCTGAACATTTCGAGGCTGGATCACTGGAAGAAGATCAAGTACAGCGGGTGGCACAATCCCATGAGGTGGTTTATATGGACCCCCATCTAAAAGAAATCTTGGGAATTGCCCCATCTACCCTACCCTGAAACCAATGTATACAATCACACACCGTAAGGCCACAAGGTTGAAAAGGAAGTTGATGCACCCAAGTTGGTGTGGGCCCCTTGTTTTCAAACCAAAGCTACATCAACTTACTATTACAAGCACCTCAGCCACCCGCTCACAAGTCTGTTTCCTGCAGCTGCTTAAAGGCTAGCAGCTGAAGGCTGAAGTTATACGATTTACTGTATACAATCGGGCATGAATGACGATCGTTGCTCCAATTGATTCAACTGCGTCTTTCAGGATTGGGAATCCCTGTGTCAAAACCGTCAACCAAAATTTGCTGGAATTGTCTGACAGCGCAAACGAGAAACATCTACGCAGGCGCCCTGGCACCCTGATTGGATGATATTGGATGTCATACATCTCAGCACCACATCTGCCTCCGGTCCTGCCTTATTTTTTGGGCAAGTGTCCAGTCCACCAATGACAGGCCTGCGACTCTGCTTGAATCAATGGCAAAAGGACCATCCACAAATCATCCGTCGCTGAGCCTGTGCCGATGGCTGTCACACAGAAAGGGGGCTCCTGAGCAGCCCCTTCTGTGCTCAAACTGACTCAACCCCCAAAACAATCCCCCTAATCACGAGCTTCCCACACATCTGGTTCAGAGCTCGAAACGCGGTATATACACACCTCTGCAAGCATATTCTGCGAACGTGCTATCACTCCTCTATATGAATAACCAATGCAACGTGTGACACGTGGACCTTGCTTGTTCTTTTGATCCTTTGTGCACATCAGGCAAGGATCTGGGCACCAAAGAAGGAAAGCCAGTGAAAGCAAAGCGGTCACCATCCCAGCCGCTGCCGATCCGGAATATAAAGGGAAAGCTTGCTGGGCGCCCACTTTGCCTGCCAGGGAGATTTGACAAGGATGCTAGTGGTAGGCAAATGCCCTTCACTCTATCTCCAGATTACCTCCACACTGTTTGACCATATGAGATGCACGGCTGCAGCTCTGCTTGGTTTCCAAAATAACGCCAAAAGTAATTGCTGAACATAACCCACAAGCTCACAATCACCAACAAGCTGACAGAAAGGCTTGAACTGCCACAGGGGTCGTCCCTGGTACAGTAGGCCGAACTTCATCAGCAAGCTGCCCAAACGTGCAACGCATGGCTTGCTCCAGAATGTCCCAAAGGTTCGTGAGTTGGGTGTGGGATCATAAAACCCCAGTTGACATTTGTCCAGCTGCTCCAGACACCCCCCGACACATCTCCAGCGAATACCTCGTCCTGATGGGAAAGGGGTCGATGATAAAGAGCCGCTCGATAAAGAAGAACTCCGATTCAATGATGCAGTCCGTCAACTGAAGACCTTCCAAACGCCGCAATGCTGCGGCCGCCGTTGGGCGGCCGCTCGGGTAGTTACAAGATGAAGCATGGCAGTAGTTGTGAGCCGCAGTGCACATAGCTTCAGACCGATGACTTGACTAGAGCAGCAGGTTCTCTCCAAGTGTTTAAACCGAAAAGCTGACCATTTTGGCCATTCCAGGGCTTTTGTCATGACTTCTTCCATTTACCTAGCTCGCTTCGAAGTGTCGCAGCCTCACCTTGCACAGCGCCTCGGATCGCACAGGTGCCATTCTCTGGACTGAAGGTCACCTCAGATCTGCCATCACTAAGATTCCGTCCGCATGTGGAGGGTAAAAATCGGAAACATTCGAGAACAACCCACACCTCTGTGTGTCCGGGAATGTGAGAACGCCTCATGCATGGGGGCAGCTAGCAAGGGTCTCAAAAGACTTCGCGAACGGATCTGCTAAGCTGCTCTATGACCACTCATGTCCTCCCTACTGTGGAAAATTCATGTCAGGAAGTACGTGCACAAGTCCCAGAACAATCAAAAACACATATTGCAAGAATGCAATATGATCAATATGTGTGTGATCTGTTAGTAGGTGTGTGATTCTTTTACTAGGCCCCATCTGCGGTGATCGATCGCCTCCAAGGCCTCCAGTCACTCACTGCTTCAGCTGCACCTGCGCCATGAACTGCTCCAACCGGAGTGCCCAGCGAGGGCGCCGGCTGCGACGTTGGAGTCTTTGTAGTTCAGTGAGCCGGTGTTGATGGCCTCGATGGGAAAGGATGGGTTTCAAAACAGGCTGTCATACCAAATGCTACAAACAATAATATATGACAATATGACTGACAATATACATACATAATACACCGTATACACCCCACCTGAACCTTCATTTGTAGCACTTTTTGTTGCCGAACCTAGGGTTTCAGCACTACGTGGACTTGTGGTGGTTTATTTTCTATCTTTCAAAATGCTGAAGACTCGACTGAGTTTTCCTTGCGCCAGCCGTAAACAACTTCAAAACGTGCGCGCATTGACGCAAATTGCCACGACACGCGCGCAATTGAACAAGTGCCGAACACCCCTGAACCTGAAATGGGGTGGATGTCAGAGGGTACCATGTGCTTCCTTGCGCTTTTTGTTTGAATATGTTTGAATGAGGGCTTTTTTTGACATGAGCGCTTTGCTGTTGTCTCGAGAAAAGGTTCAGGTACGGCTCATACCATACCCAATATTTAACATAGATGTTCACATTCAACATATCGGTATGTACCCTACATATAGCGTAATGGTATACTTACCGAATCTGTTTGCCATTGTTGGATTGAAACCGGTCCGCCGAATGAACATGTACTGTCATTGACGACTCTCGGGTCTAGAGAGCTTGAAGTCAACGATCTAGAATCTGGGCCTGGGAGAATGTGAAAAACCCTGGTAAGTACCTTTGGTTGCTCCCCATTCGTGGGAGATACCTGTAAAACAAGTTTTCAACATGTGATTTGGAGAGGGGTTCTTCGAGTGGAGCACGGTCCGCGCGGAGTCAAGTCAAGTGGAAAAGCAAAGCACGGTCCAGAGCCTTCGACCAACAGGGAGTGGAGCAGCCAGAAGCTCAAGGTCTCATAGGTTTTCATCCAGTCCTCAGTTCGGTTTGGTGGGCTTGGTGGGGTCTTTCAAAGACCGCCCTGAAACTCATGCGATCAGTTGACAGCCCTTCTTGCCAAAACACTTGCAAAAAAGAACCACATGCGCTCAAAAACAATCAACCCAGACTCGGCTTGATCCCACACCATCATTATAGTTTCCTGTATGGCTCCAAGCCCTAAAAAAACAATCTTCCGAATGAACACGGGGATTTTGCCTAGAACAAGTTGGATGCAATGGGAGTCCACTCATGGGCGCCCAAAAGGCTTCCAAGCAGCCGCGCTCAGAACCTGGAACTTCACGCCCGCATCGAAGGCAGCCGAGGGAGACAGGAGTGCCCAGGTGGCTGGAGACCCTTAGGGAGAGACATCCACATCTGGGCCCTTGGAAGACCATCTTCCTCTACTTTGGCGGGGCTGGGGGCCCCACTGACTGATGGTTTGTTTATAGGGGGAGGGTAGTCATTCTGATTGGCACCAGCGAATCACTTCCTTTTCATCACTGACTTCATCTTGGGCTCCTCATCCATCTCACGATCTCTCATGATCTCTCATGTCAAGCGTTCGCCCTTCCAGCGGGACTTTCTTCAACCTACAAAGTGCCGCCCGGGCCGCGTTTCTTTGCTTTGCTCTGTTCCAGGATGGATGGAAGAACCGCCTCCCGAAGTGAGACCACATCTAAGCAGCCGCATTCGGCTGGAGCTGGTGGATTGTGCGGACCAAAGGGCTGATGTTGTCTTGCAGTCTTGTTTGTACCGCACCTCTCTCTCCGTACATCTCCATACTTACATTACACTACACTACATTACAATATATTACATTACACATTACGCTAAAAAAATGTATGTATATATATATATATATCTCTGTTATGCGAAAATGGAACATGCCATTACATAATATTACATTGCATTCATTACAATACGTATATATAATTATATATATATGCACAATAAGAAGTATGCATGCATGTATTGTATCGACTCTATCGACTCAGGCTGATGCGGTGGATGCCAGGTTTGGTGAAGGTGATGCATCGTGATGCATCGTGATGCATCGAACGCCTCGGCCCTGCGAGTTCGGACTCCACGCCTGAACTTGTAGGCTGCAAAGCTCTTGTGACAAGAACTCTCGCCAAAAGCCTAGCCATGAGGCTTTGGACTTCCAAAGCTTCTGCATCTCCTTTCTCTCCCAGCGCGCAATGGCCTGGCGACCAATAATTGCTCTTTAGGCGTGGACTACTGCCAGTTGCTGTACAAAGTTATAAACCAGCCCCAACAAACGCGCGACGTCATGCTGTGACTTCTCAGCGCCTCTTCTACATGTCTTCGGCTCAGTGCCATCGTTTGGGACTTCGAATCCGTGAAGCTGCTGCCATTCAGAGCAGCAAACCACCTGCAGGGCCGACATGGACGAAGTCAGGGTGGAAGCCCTAGGCTTCCTGGCCTGGCACTTTGTATCATGAGCTTTACTGAAGAACCAAGGTTTTACGAAGGGAGTTTACATGGTTTTACATCGTTTTACGCTACAACACCCGTTCAATATCGTTCAATCATGTTTATTTCTTAGAATCTTTATATACAGTACCCGTTTTGGAAGGCTAGCAGCTAGGGAAACAATGGTCCCTGAAGATAGTCCTGACTCTCCACCCTCTCCACCCTCTGGCCAATTGATGCCGGCTTCATGCCAGCTTGTCCTGCCTGGCGATCAACGGCATTTGCAGCTGGTCGAGAGCCTTGATGGCCTTTCCGCTGTCCAAGTCGATGAGCTGCCGCCAACTGTGTTCCAGCAGCAGCTTCACCGTCTCCAAACGCAAGTCCTCCAGACGGTCCGAAGGGTTCCGACCCAGCTGACATCAACAGGTCCGGAGTCCAGCGGGTTTTCTGGTCATCCTGGGGCGCATCAATGTGTGAGTCCGGACCATTCCGATCAGAATCGCCCTTCCCTAAAACAGGTGGCATCTTTCTGCACCCACTCGGCCATTCACTGTATTGGGACTTAGTGGATTGCTGAGCTTAAGGGCCTGAGGCCTTGGTTTCTTTCCGGCCGCTCCTCGTACTGCTTCCCCTCTCGCTGGAAGTCTGTCATGATGAAGACGTTGGGGTAACGCTGCCGGCGGATCCAATCATCCAGCAGAGACCGTTGGCTGGGGTGAGCGCAAATCACATACCTCAATGCTCAAGAACAGCTACACTCCAAGTCACTCACACGGAAGTGGGGAAGTGGAAAACCACCTGTTTGTAGAGGAAAAGAGTCATCCAAGGAATCCACGGGGGCCATTTTCCGGGAGTGTAGGTCAGCCAGCGACCATCACTGACACCCTGATGTTCAAGAAGCCATGCTTTGAATCATGCAGCATCATGTAGGCTCTTGAGTAAAAGCCACCGATATGAAGAGGATTTACCATCCATTGGTCCATGTCTGGGGGAGCTATTCATCAAGAATTCCACCAAAAGGACTGCATTGTCCATTATAGTTTGACAGTTTGCATCTTAGTGATTGAACAAACCTATCACTCTTGCAGGTGTGCCATGAGTGCCAGGCACGCATCGCCAGGACTGGGACGAACTCGTCACTCCGCGAGAGTCGTGCGTCATATTGCATTCTTGGAATGAGCTATATAGTATAAGCATGTATATTCAAGCGCGTATACTACATATATATATATTACTAATTACTGTAGTATAAGCATGTATAAGCTATACAATACATAAAACATGGTTAAATAGTGATTGTGAGAGATTGTTCGAAGGGTCCCCCGCTGAATAAGAACTTCGTGAAACCTCCCATTCCTCCTGGTGCTTTGTTTAAAGCAGTTGGATTCTACACACGGATTTGGCTATGCCATGCCACTAGGCGTTTGAGCTTCTACCAGGATCCGATGATCTCATTGTGCACCGAATGGCCTCCGTCCGCCTCCTTCCTGTCGCGTCACACATGCTCAGTGCCATAAATGGCCTGCACCAGTTGCTGGCTTCCGGCCTCGACGGCCACGGCGAAGCGAACTGGGCGAAAGGCCATCCACTCCAAAACCATGGTCAAACGCTCCATGGGACTGCCATAGATGCCGCCCCAGACAGACCCCCCCCACCACCACCCCTGGCCTGATCGGCACAAATGGCAGTTCCATGGAGCGTCTGGGATGGATGAGATATGATGAGATGACTGAGCCGATCCTAGCCGAAGAAAACAAACTTCAAGAAGGTCTTCTTCCGTGTTCACCAGCTCATGCCGAGGGCTCATGAGCAGATTGCTGTACGCTTCCACGACCAAACCGCTAATCAAACTGATTCAAACTGCAGTTCAGCGATGCATCATGCTATCTTAACAAATCGTATCATGATTCTCGCCCTGCTAGTCGATGCTGGAGAGTCGCTCCAGCATGTTCCTCTCTCCGTTGCCTAGGCTGGTCTCTCCCATTTTGTGGTCCTTAAAACGATGAAAACCAACAGAGCTGAGCCATTGAGCCTTTAGATGGGATCCGTTTGCGACTCTCGCCCGACCCCGGGCACCCGGTCTCGCCCGGTCACCTCCTCGTCACAGCGACCGGCGAGAACTGCTAAGCGGTAGGAAGCAGCTGAGGGGAGAAGCCGAGGAGAAGGATCGGGCCTAAGATGTGTCGACAAAGCAAGGTCTGGGACTAGGCCAGCTGTATAGTCACAACATGTCATAACATCATACCTATAATCACCCGTAGGCTCAGGCTGACACAGGATACTCATGCCATCTCATGTCACATGTCCGAAAGACATCGATTCAAATACTGTAGGTCCGCCGTGTCCGCCGTGTCCTCCGGTTGGCCAGTGCACAAGGGCCCAGCGAATCGATTTTCAAGAGCGAGCACACGTGGGATTTCAACACTTCAAGGCAGCCACTTAAGTCACTTAAGCCACTTCTCTTCTTCCATTGGGGCTGGCTGGTTGGTGCTGGTCGGACCACAAGTGCAGCACCACAAGTGGACTCAATCCCTTGAAGCCTCAATCCTTGCGCATCAGGTAGCTTTCTAACAGGTTATGAGGTTATAAAGGTGTAGGAAGCGCGCACACTGGCGCGCACCCTGCAAGCCGAAGCTTTGGGTCCGTCGACTGCAACGGTGACGGCATCAACGGTGCACCCGAAGGCACTCCGTTGCTTGGTCCAGCGTCGCGGACTGCGCGGCCGCAAGGCCCAAGAGCACGAGGCACCGCATGGCACAGCGGTCCCCTCGTCTGCCATCGCAGCGCAGCGCTGGGCCCGGGCGCTGGAAAGAGAGGGAAGAGAGGGGGAAAATGAATGAGCTTGGCTGTGAGCGCCATGATTCAGCTTGGTAGCAACGATGCACAACGAAATACAATGTAATGAACTCCCGAGGCAGAGCCGGCTAAGCCGTGTTTCGTTTTCGACATGCAATGCTTTTTGCTCACATTTGTATGCCGATGCGGTTGGAAGTTTCATGTGCTGCCAGCAGCCTTACACTATCTTACACTTGCCAAAGCGAAAGGAGCAAGCGAGCGAGCGGAGGGAGACGGAGGGAGGGAGATCACATGAAATGCATCATTCGCATATATTTGTATGTCAGTGGACAGATTTGGCCAGTGACTCAGTGGTTTGGTTGAGAAAGCTGGTATCAAGGCCTGCACCAGGTGATGCATATTGATGCTGTCTGAGCAGATCAGTTAGCATTCTGGATGGACTTGTTCGTAGAGGAGAATGGCTTGCCAGGAGCCATTTTCCACTTCCATGATAGCAATGATAACATACCTCCAACTTCCATAGCGATTGCTGATCAGCTGAGAGCCAAAATGGCTGGGCGAACTGCGGAGTGAGGATGAGCTACCTCAAAAGGTCCACGCCCATCCTCACTGCCCCACTGATTTTTCATGTTAAACATCTTTCTCAACATCTTCGAGTTGCCTGTCTTCTCCACACCCCCATCTACGAATCTACGGTAGATCTTCCCCCACCGATGCCCCCCTCCGCTTCCGGATCTGATCTGTTCCTTCTCCCTTCTCCGTCCTCGCATCTCTGGGCTCTCCGACTCGACCACCGTGACGGAGGACTCCATGCTAGGAACCAAGTAGGTCAACTTGTGGTACTCCGTCCTCGCGGCGGGGCTCGCCGCCGGCGGTCGCCCGCCGGGGGCTCGCCCAGGGGCGCGCGCGGTGCTGTTCGAGCGCCGTTGCGCGCGGCTTGGCGCGTCGCGCGGGTGCCGCGAGCTGGGTCGCGGGTCGCGAGCTGGGCGGCCGGGCTCGATGGCGGCATGCACATCAAGAATGTGGACCTGGCATCCGATGTTTGAGATTTGTTCGGGTGGCCTACTTGGAAGGGACATGTTGACAGTTGGAGAAGTCCATGTTTTAAGCTACAGTATGCTACTGTACAGTCCCCTTGTTTAAGCCTTCAGGCTGTTTGGAAATTGTGTTCATCTGTCTGCTGGCCTGCAAAATGCTGCAGGCGTGGCATGTACACAATTTGGCTCTGGACTCTTGATCAATCTCGGACCATGTACAGTCACTGCCCCATATGCCAATGGGCTGCCAAGGTAAGGTGATCTCCAGGAGATAAGGCCACCAGGAGGTGATCCTCCAAACGCCCCAGGAGGTAAGGCCACCTTCTTCTCAGGTACGTAGTACGTAGAGGGAACATAATAGAGGGGTGAAACGGTGGTAGACCTGGTCGCCTTTTCCTTTCTCCCATCAACTTCTGATCCAACTGAACTCCCTTCAGTTGACCGAGTTGTGAAGAGACCCAGTTGACCGAGTAGCCCACGTTCAGAAGGTCGGTGCCATTCAGCCACTTCAAGCTTTCCTCGGTGCCAAAAACCCTCTCGAACGATCCGGCGCGGGTCTATTCGAAACACAGGCCATATTGGTCAGGGAATTCTATGGATCCGAGAAAGAGCAAGAAGGATGGTGGCAAGGGACGCTTTCCCGGGGCCCTTCAGGAACAGTCAGATGGATCCGAGATATCAATCTCCAAGAGGCAATCCTTCCTCTTGGGCTTCTCAGTCTGGGCACTGCAAGATTACTGAGGAGCTTCTCATTCGGTCTCTGTCTGAGCCCTCACGCATCGTCCCAGAACAAAGGCATGTACGACCTCCAGCGACGACATCTTCGTCTCGGCACCCGCGTCCGCGTGAGGTGGTCCTTGATTACAATGGTTTCCGAGTAGATTGCACAAACCCCAAAAGACATTTAATGGGGATCCATATCACACACACATACATAAACCACCTTTGGGAGATTGTGCCATCTGCTCTGAACCCACTGTAATGTTCTTGAATCTTTCTGTTCGCACTGTGGCGAGTTCAGGAGTGCTCGGGCCAATCACAAGTTTTCCGTAGAACATCACGAAGAAAAGCAACCGTCAAATGGGCCATAATTGAGAAGCCTCAAGTGGTTAGACATGAGCAAACAGCTTCGGTGAGACTCGTGGGAGAACGACAGGATTCCAGTCTCATCGAGTCGTCACCGGTGTCAGCAGGCATCGAGTCCAGTAGCTGCTAGCACGATCATCCCGATCCCACCCGCCCAGTTGAGACATTGATCTCCAACTACCTCCGTTTCGAAGGTGGGACTGGGGTGGGTGCCAGGGGGGGGTCTACCGAACCTGAGGAGGTACGACTGGAGCCCTAGGGATACATTTCGGTGGATAAGAAAAACATGTTGAGACCGTCCATGCCACCGTCCATGCGCTCCAACGGGCCGAAGTAATCTTCAAGTGAGAATGTCTCATCCGAAAGTGACCCGAAAGGATGACCATTTCTCTCTCTACAAACAATATATATGTGGTTCCTCTCCACTTCCATCATGAGATTCCAGAGAGTGTGTTCTTTTTCTCCCTTTCTTCCGAAGAAAAAGAATCTCTGGGCGTCAGGCAGGGCAGCATCGACATACTCTTTCTTCAGGAGGGTGTCAAATCTCCAGCCTCAGCATCAACAAATTCTTCGACACAAATCATCCCTTTGACGATGCAGGTGCTGAACATTTGTGTAGAGGCCTTTGGCATGTGTCGAAAACGTAATCAGAATATCTGCCAGCCAGAAACTCTGGTTTTTAGAGTGTGTTACCCCAACCCCATATGGCAGGCCCATGTCTAATATAGTGTTTTCCTGTTTGTGTTTTCCATGTTTTGAATCCTGGATCTGCGGCTACAATTGGCTGCTGTCACAGTTCCTCCTGGCAAGACCAATGAAGGTAACACAAGAAATACTTGAGACTTCCTAGCTGAGCGCATCAAATGGTGAAGGAATGGTCTCTTCCAATCGAGGGTTTTGAGGGGTGAGCCCTTTAAGCAGTGTTGAGGTTCCTCGTTGTCACGCTGTGAAGATTGTAGCCGCGCCTGCAATCATACAAAAGCGGTTCCCGGGAGCAATGGTCATCAACCGCTTGTCGGAAGTTCAAACAAATTTCTTGTTTAGAGTTTAAAGCGGACGCTTTGCTCATTCTTACTCAAGCTGGACAACTGAGGTTCATTTGGCCTATGTCATAGAGGCAATGCAAATGAACCGAGGACTGGAGGATGACCAGCACGTGGGCCGGGCTCTCAAGGTTCTCAAAGCCAGTAATGTCAAATGAGGATCTATAGAGCTACCCCTTATTATATACGTATCAAACGGATGTATTTTCGCCCAAGTTGATGCACTAGGAAAGTCAATTGTAACCACCGTTGTCCCACATTAGAGCAAGTTCGCTCCTGATAACCAACATGTTCCCCACATTAGACCATGTTCACTCCTGAAATCCCTCAACCAAACCACGCATCCTGGCCATCCACGGTTTGTTGCTGTTTGTTCCTTCTTTTCTCCTGGCCTGGGAACCCCTTTTCTCTCTTCTTTCGTTTCTTTCGCAAAACTGGTGCTTCAACACTTAGATTCAACGCCCCGATGCAGTACTTTCAAACGAACGGTTTGAACAAACTCTTTGAACAGCTCACCAGGGGCACCCATCATGAGGCCTGGAACCTTACTTTGCAGGTCATTTGTGGATGAATATGAGCCTTCCTGTCATCGGCTGTCCTGTCCTGCGGGTTTAGTCAGGTTAATGTGGATCCGCAAAACACATGACTCGATGGATGTTGCTTTGTATTGGGGGATGGCCGTTAACAACCTTCGGGACTTTAACTGTTCTTTTCCTGTAATCATTCAGCCTCGGCACAATACAGCAACGATGGTAGAATCTTTTTCTGGCAACTTTGTCCCCAAAACCCTCCCCGCAAAAAAGAATGGAATACATTCAAGCACCAGGAAACATACTATAATATTATAAGAAACATATGCCTATATGTGATGGGTCACGCCAACTCCCAAGAACCATCACCATCTTCTTCGAGCTCGTCCACCTGAATCCGTGGCTTCGCCAGCTGGGGCTGGGGACCAGCCGAATGATCCTTTTTGGCGTGGGCCAAGGTGTACAAAGTGATCCTCAGCGAGGACGGTCAAGTGGGTTTTAGCTTAGTCAATTGGCGACGGAAAACCAATCAAAGGAAGCTTTCATATATACGATGATTCCTGTATGTGGACTGTGGACCGTGACCTTGCATCAATTGGCCATATACCAGGGAAAACGAATAGCACTATCCTCCCCAAAAAATAGAACAAATTGGAACCACTCCTGCAAACTTTGTGGCAGCCAAGTACGGGGAAGGCTTTGATTGTGATCGAATATGAAGGAAATGTTGGAGAGCGTTGGAGGGGTAGAATCATGCATCTTCTTGGATCCCGGTAGTGCCTATACTAGCCTATACATTGACCCGTGAGATACATGGAGTGTTTGGGCCCCGCCCCATCCACCCCACCCTGAACATGGTTGTCAATCTTCTGCCGACAGAAGATAAAGCCATATAAAGCCCTCGCTACCTAGCACAATGGATCTTGAGCACATCCATGTTAGGGCTAAATTGTCAGGTTCCAAATTCCAAATTACATTTGGACACACACAAACACACCCATATATATATATACACACACATATACATGCCACATACTATAAATACATATATTTACAAATATGAATACAGTACATACTAATATCTGCCACGATCATCTCTGCACCGGCACTGGGCACCCTGGCCAGGTCCATGGCGCAATGTCCACAGGTTCCGAGCTCTTCTTTTGAGCATCCACCACCTGCAGGCGATCGTCACATCTGGACTTGATCGGGTCAAACGCTCTGTTCATCTCTTTTCCGTCTTTTGGATCATGATGTGGAGAATATCTTAGGGAGGTCCAGCAAAGCATCTGGGAGTTTCAGGGATTTCCCTCCTTTGCACTGCATTTGACCCGTCAAAACACCTCTGTCAGGCAGGTTGGAGCGCTTTAAACTGCGTGAATTCATGCTAACACATTGTTTGTCTTGATTCAAGCATGGCTGCTTGTTCAGGTTCTTTCATTAGCTTGGCCAGCCCAATAAAATGAGGATGACGAGAACCAATCCTATACGAGCTGTCTACCAAAAGCTCTACAGTCTACAGTAGACAAAAGTATATCAAGTTGTACCAACCTAATGGCGGCATATATTAAGTCCATGGGTTTGTGCCAGCGATTCTCATACCACCTTGATCAGAGTATTATTGCTGTTGATTGTGTCCATGCAAGTGAGATGTTCGCTGACCCATGAGACATACACACACAGCAACCCGCATGAACCCTTTCAAACACCGAATGGTCACTGGTTGAAGGCGTTGTAGAAATGATGTCATGATATGTCATGTCTTTCTGACACCCAACATGTCAAGAGAATAGAACACATGGAAATCCGTTTCTTTCCCCATCAAGCCATCCGTGTGGGTATGAAAATGGGGAGACCTCCCAGTTAGGACCCCCCTCAAGGAAGGTAACCTATTAGACCAGCCTACCCATTGAGCCAGGGGTGACTCCATAATCAAGAAGTCCCTATATAAATCCATGTCTGCGCCTGTCTGATCGTCTGATCCGTCAAGTCTTGCCTCAGGACTGGTCCAGTTGAAGGACGAAGGTGTAGAAACAAGTTGGACACATGTTGAAGCAGGAACTGGGTCAAGTTGGAGGGTAAATTCGAAGGGTCAAGTTAAACGAAGGGTCCAGCTGAAAGGCGAAGGTGTTCCTGTGAGCCAAACAGGAACAAGTTGAAGGCCTTGTTGGCTCGCACGCAGGAACTGTTGCATCTTGGCCGGCGGTTGGGTGCTAGTCGTTTTAGGGCTTGTGGGATTGATGCCACCTTTCGATGCGAGTTCGGGTTTTTGCGGGTTTGAGCGGGTTCGGCGCGGGTGGTGTTATCAAGAAGGGTTGTAGCCTGCAGCAACTTATATAGAGTATATAAATACTAGAGTAAATAGGCGTTTGGGGAGGCACAGGACAAAGACTGCCATCTTTCCTGAGATCGCTGCTGGCAAAAATCAGCAGAAAGTACGTGAGACAAAGGCAACTTCACAAGGACTTCATCCTGGATGGCAATTTGTTAGCTCATGAAGGCTCTATGTCAGCGTGACTGGCGCTATGTTATGCAAATAACATGCTACTGACGGGCGCACCCCACACGCTCCTCCCCCAGGGGCATGTCCTGTTGTATTAAGTGTTGTATTATAGTCGTTAAGTAATACTTCCGCGTAATGATCCTGAGGAAAAAAAGGTCTGTGATGTGGCAAAGCGGTGGGGATACTTGGCAACTGCTTTAGAAACTTTAGAGCCCTTCAAGCATGTTTGAAATGCTAATAGGCGATTGGCAAGCATGATCTCAAGGCAGAACCTTCCGAGGTAAATTGAACTTGTGGTCATGGGTTCTTGGCTGCCACGACCCTACCCAAAGGCCCTCTGCCAGGGGCTCAAGGGATCAAAAGGCTTTCGTGAATTCAGGTGGCTCTAGGGGTTGCTGAACTGTTCAGGCATCTCTACGGTGCTGGGCGCGCAGTTCAGCGCTGTGAACAGCTGCCCAGCACCCCCCATCGCGCGGCGCACCGCACGAGCACCGCCCTCCTTCCCGACGGCCATGGTCGTCTCAAGTCGACGTTCGTAGCGCCCTGCGGCACTCATGCCACATGTCGAAACAGGACCAAGGGGCCAAGTGACGTGTCTTAGGAGAGTCAATTGCTGGGACCGTTTCCTTAACACAATCCCAAACCGGACACTGAGCCAGTTACATGATGCTAGATGGCTCTGGGCTATTGAAGCAGTCTGTGTCAGAGTTGTTTTCAAGCGGCAACAAATTTAAGTGGCGCCCGACGTTATCTTCTTCAAGGGAGGCATGACGATACAGCGGAACCAATGACGAACTCCAAAACATTGGTCAGTTAACTTAGGTCTGTTTCTTGATCATACGCAGATAACGAGCAATTTGTCAACTCATATTTGTAGCCATGTCAGCCAAGTGATGCAATTCCTCTTGTTGTCCTTGCCTTTCTCACTGAGGTAGTCCTTGACTACCTTCGGCACGGGCCCATCTGACTGGTTCACCCAAACGAAGCAATGCTGTCTGCACCAGCTGAAGCCCATACTGACTCCCTCACTTTCGCTGGAACATGTAAATGTAGGTCATGTATGGTAATATATATCCTATTTTTGTTCCATGCTGAGTCTTCATGGGGAACCACTCCACAAGAAACGTCGTTTCCAATGAACTCGCCGATGAGGCCCTGACCAACTTGGGACTGACCCATCCACCAGGTCCACCCTCGATCCTGAGTGATGGACCGGTCGTGGCACGAAGGGATCGGCTGGCGCGAAGAAACACCAACAGCCAAAACATCCTGGGCTCATCAAAATGAGGCCGACCAAACTGATCCGTAAGCCTGCTAATCCGAAAAAAGGGTCTGCAAACCACATATAAAGAAAAAGAATATATACGGTAAATAGATGGACTCAAGGCAGTGTGAACCAAGGATCTTCAGAAGAGACTTTGGAGGCCTACGGCCCAAAACCCAAGGTCCCAGGCCAGTTCTTCAGGCTGGAAAACTGCTCAGCCTGAAGGCGCAAAAGAATCAAGAGAGACTCACTTCTGAAGGTCCTACGGTGCTGGAACTTGCTTGAGTTAGGTTTTTGGACCCCTCTTGCGTCAGGGAGGCCAACGATGTGGGCATTTTGGTGCTTTGGTTGCACTGGGCCTGATTTCAACACGTCTGAACGCAAACCTGCTCACAAAAAGCCAGGGCATGTCACAGAATTCCGGGCCACATCGCCGTGGTAGCAGTGGGGAAGGGTCGCCCTCCTTACCTTTGCGTCGCTTCGTCGTCGCCAACATCGAATCTGCACCGCTATCCACCGCGAGTGCCTCGATGGGAAGGCCTAGTGCATCGATCTGATCGAAGCCATGGCAGTTATGGCAGCCATGGCACAAAACCGGCGAAGGCATAGCTCAGTACTATAGTCACTAAACGTTTCTGACCTCAAGTCCTGGATGGGGTGATGATGTTTTTGGTTGCCAACTATTGACATGTAGTTCTTTTGCAAAACATGCAGCCCTGATCAAGTTCTCCTGGGACCCCCTGGCCGTCACTGCACTAGCGGTTGCGTTCCTTAGCCCAACGTTGCAAACATCATTTCTGTTTGCGAAAGAATGAGGGGATTTGTGAGATCTGCTGAACCGCCATATCCCACAATCTCACGGCTTTCCGCTTCGAACTCTGGAACTGAGCAGGTCTTGGAACACAAGCTTCGGTGAACGAAATCGCCGGACCACCTCCTAAACCAATGGGAGGTCAAGAATAAGAGCTCGAAAAATCACAACAGCAGCTGAACCAAGCTGAACAACTGCATAAGGACGGTTCCACTTCAGAGTCTTGTGCCATAGACTTGCCGTTCATATCGACCAAAACCTGGAACCCTCGCCTCTTGCAAAGCCAGGACACTTGTAAAGTTCCTTCTGCAGGCCATGGGCATCATGATGAAACCACCTGGTCAGCTGGCGATTGGTGAATGGATCTACGCAAAGCACTGGAGGGTCGACCCTCCACGCAATTCATCATATTCTGATCCCTACTGATCCCTGATCCCTCCAAACATCCTAAGGGCATCTAAGGGCTCCTCTTTTCTTCACCCCGGATGGCCTGGCCACTGGTCCAGCCCCCCCGTAGAGATCCAGCGAAGGCGCGCCTCACGGGATTCCATTCATCGAACTGCGGGGAGATGAGACCTGAGCGCGGACGGCGGACGTCTGACGGTTCCGGAGACATCGCCCTAGATCTGACCTCATGGCCCTACTCTCTCCCTCTCCCGGCCCAAATCAGGAAATGGTATTTGTATAAGGGTCCATTCCCAAAGCCCGGCCGTGTACATATATATATATATACAAATGCAATACATGCAGCATCCTACACTCGCATTCTCTATTTTTGCCTTGGAGTACGCTGAGTACTGTAGCTACTAGTCACTCAAGGCAACATGCGAAGGCACATGACACGGTGATCAACGGCTTCCCGACGCAGCCAGGCCGAACGCGAACCAGCCCCGAGTGCTCCGAACCGTTTCACCCACAGCGGGATGGACTTTTTCGACCCACTCGCCCCACAGCATTGGACGTCAGGGTCTAAGGTGGAAATCCTTGGTGCTCCCAGAAAGGGTCAGGAAATGGACTGCAACATGAACACAGGCGAGCTTTCAATCCAATCAAGTTGTCCGACTTGGGGATTGACGCTTGTCCTGAAGATCATTCAGAGCGGGAAATGGGGGGAAGTTTCCATTCACCGTGACACGGGCCATCAACATGATTTGAATTGCTCTAAGCACATGTAGAGTTGGAGCACTCAATCGCCGATCATGAGAGTCCAAGTCGGCAAGCTCTGCGAAGCAACTCGCAAGCACAGAACAACTTGCTCACGGGGATGGAGTTAATCAACATCAATCTATAAATGTGCTTCCCATTTTTCTCCATGCCTTCGCCCAAAAAAGCCCGAAACTCTTGCCTTGTTCCTCTGGGGATCTTAACGCTGTGCTTCGCTGTCTCTGCAAACCTCTCCAAGGTTCCAGTCGTCTCCAGCCCGTGCGTGCTCGGGCTGTGCGCGCCGGACAGCGCGCCGGACAGCGCGCCGCCCCAGGACGCATCCAGGATTTGCCCTCGCCCCGGCGACCCAGCTGGCGGTGGCACGGCCGGCGCAGTGGGTGGGGGCGGCGGCGACGTAGGCAGCGTGGAGATGTTGGGAGGGCGGTCCTTAGGTGTCTGTCGCATCGTGCAGTGTACTTTCAAGAAACCAGGCGTAAATGGAGTGATGAGTCATATGATGTCATATGTTAATGCTGCTAAAGTGGAATCTGGAGATGTTCAACTGGCCCTTTGCCTCCACTTCAAGTTATTTTCAAGAGCTCCGGCGGAGCCGAGTGGAAAATCCTCTTTGCCAGCGCAGCACCGACCACTAAACCTCAACAACAAACAAATGCCCTTCCAAGTTGCAGGGAGCAGTTTATAGAAGTCCTCGCTGGGTTAAACCTATCTGGGCAAGTAATTGTAATTAGGCATGTACATGCATGTACCAGTTCCAGATCCATGAAGACCTAACAAAGATCCCAACATTAGGGTGAAACAAAGGTCGGTGAGACTCTCAGATGCACGTCACCCAGTCCCAGATCCAGATCCGAGAAGCGGGTGGACAGGTCAAGGTGCGGTTCCCTTGGCCATCATGACCGACCTGTCAGCGACTCAAAAGGAGCGACTCAAAAGGACCGGACCCGCAGGCCTTCCAAGAAAGAAGAATGGTGGACCTACAAGTAGTGGTGTAGTCTGGTGTAGTACAACAATGTTTTTTCTTGGGCGAAAGATCCTTAATAAAAAAAACACTCAAACAACGGCTATGCATGTATAGCTTGAAGCCAGCCCAACCTGCAATTGTGGATGTTGCTTCCGCTTTTGCACCATATATATAGTTGATTACAGTGCATACTGACTCATGGACAACTACTACAGTAGGCACGAGCATAGGTCAATTGTAAATAATCTGGTGGATGTGGGCTGATCGATGCTGCTTCTATTGGCTCTAGGTCATTTCAAACATTTTTGCTGAAGGTACAAGGCAATATGAGGAAACAGCGGTCGCCCCGAGTGGATTTGGGAGCACAACATTGGCTGTAGTTTCTCGGTTTCAACCATCTATATAATATATATATATACCCTAGGGATCCCTAGGGATCCAGATGTACCTTCTTAGAAGGTACTTGGATCATGTTGGGTCCCTAGGGGGATTCTAGAACATCACCCAGTTTTTCCGGCTGTCAACATTGGCTCAGCGCCCGTGTGGTCGGGCCCCTCTTCCAGTTCGGTCCCAGCTGCTGGGATGATCTGCTGCACTTGATTCAGCTTCTGCTGCAGGCGCCGAATCTCGGTGCGGCAAATCATGTTGTCGTGTTCCTCGGCGTGGGCGACGCTGGAGTGTTTCTAGATCGTGAGGTGCTGGGAGGACCACCCAACACATGACTTATCCAACGAGGATGGTGATAGGATATGGGATGCTCACATGTTCACTCCAAGCTTCGAGTTTCCGTTTCTCCTCATCGAACTTCAAGGCTTTCATCTCCAAATCCTCAGAGTTTTTCCTGAGGCGTTCCTGAGACTTCGCGATGGCCTCAAGCTTGGATTCGCAGCCCTCCTCCTGGCTGACCGTGAGGGTGGTGGATTTACATGTATTATAATTGTAAATATATATATATATAATATATTAATCATGATTAATCTATAAAAATTCCGTGGCCAAGCCAGGCAACGCTGGCAAAAAACCGCTGCCACCTTGAGGGTGAGTTGAGGAGCCTTTGAATCTCCCTCACAAAATCTGCACGGTGCTCCTGCATGGACCGGCCTTGAGTGGAGTGAAACAAAGAGCTGAAGCGATGGGGGCAGCTTCTCAAACAGAATCACCAAACAATCATCCCCAATCTGACTTACACTACTATAATAGTATTGAGTGTTGTTCCTGCATTAGTTAAAGAACTTTTCACCCTTCGACGCCACCCGCTCGACATCTGACCCGCCACCGTGCACCGTGCGTCCGTCCTGTCGCTTGAGATCCTCAAATTCCTTTCTGTTCTTCAGAAAGTCCTCCTCCTCAGGTGTAGACCGATGCGAAAGATGAAGTCCGTCCGTCCGGCCTTTGTTTCGACCAGTCCGGGACATGCGGTGGACAGCCCTGGACATGCAAGTCTGCAGGGTGTTTAGGTCGTTGCCCATCAGCCTCGAGAAGCATGTCAATCTAACGGCTGCGGGGGCCCTGCAAGCTTTACAAAGTCGTACAACCTTCCAGTGTCTGACACACACACACACACACACCTCCAGCCACAAACATCAAACACCGAGTGGTAGACATTGTTTTTCCTTCGCTCGAGTCTGTCCTTCGCCCATCGCTGTTCTTCCAGCGTTTTGGTTTGGAGATTGACCTGCGCCAAAAACGCGAGGCGGCGCTTGGAGTGAGGCCAAGCGAGGCAAGACGTGGTGGAATGTGGTGGACAACATTGCTGTGAAGGTCTACCCTCCCTGCAACAATCATGGAAGTGGACAACCCCCTCTTGGTAGAAGAAAATCGTCTTCCTTTCGGGGCCACTGTCCACGTAACCATGATTGTTTCAGGGAGGGAATGTATACACACTGGAAATTTAGCATGGAACCTGAAAACTACTGGGTTGTAGAGGGAAATAGTCTTCCGAAGGTCCATTTTCAGGTTCCATGTTAATTTTCCCGGGTGTAGGCTAACAGGGAATCCCCAAACTCCACAGGATGGAAAAGTACTTTTCCTCACACCGGACGGGACTCCGGTACATACAGTGTGGACATGCAGCGGTACACACTCGTGGGGGCGACAGGGCATGCGGGCATCCGTTCGTCACCAGTCGCATTCAAGATATCACATGGCTGTGGGTGAAAGCCACGAGACCTCTACCTGGTTGACCTACCTGGAAGGTCCACCGGTCCAGAGAGGACAGGTGTGGTGTTGACCAATCCCCACATCGGAATGTATGGGCAATATGACATACCAGACCAGCTTTACACACGCTAATCCCCATAGCCCTCTAGTTCGCAAGGTGCAGGACGTTCGGAACGTGTCCGAGAAGGAACGCGGTCCCGCACGCGGTCCACGCCCAACATCCATGGTGGATTCGCTCCCAGTGATCCTTCACGGATGGAGTGTGACACATGTCCGCCGGGTGAACGGGAGGAAAGCTTGGAAGGCGAGCCACCCAATGGTCCAAGTGTCCGGGGGACTTCTCCAAATGCGAACTGCAATAGCTATATACATGACATGATTATACATGTATGATGTATGTGTGAAGTGTCTATATATATATATATCATGTGTATATAATATTGTAGATGTCCTTCTTCAATCTTAATCTGCTGGTTTCGGAAGTAGCTCTTGATCTTAGACCTGTCGAACTCGGGATTGCACAGGTCAAGAGCCGGTAGGACCGGTGCAACCTGCATACCTCCAAGATTAAAAAGACAAAGATGATCACCCCTGAGTCTGGCCATTAGTCTGGGGCTTTACAAAGCAGAGTTCTTGTGACCTATGAATATGCATTTTCACGGTCATGAAGAATCACGGTCATCTGATTCCCGCGCCGGGAAATCACTTGGGACATGACGTAGCCATACCCTTTTTCCATCTGGTTACATAGCGGGACAAAAAGAATCCCCCACAAGGTTTCAAGGTTACCCACTGGGTCGAGAAAGTGTTTCAGCGCCGCCCACCTCAGCTTCGAAGTCCTTGAGACGCTGCTCACGCTCGCACAACTGCAGCCGGTGGTGTTGCATCTTCTCCTGCGGTCTTCTCACAGCCGAGCGATCTGCTCGGGCTGGGTCCGTCCGGCGGGAGATAGTCCACACATGTTCACACTCCAACAAGCTGAGATACTTGTTGAAAACCATGGGTTGCTGGGGGGGGCCATGCTCGTCTAAACGTCTAGACGTGAACGTCTGATCGTTCCAACTGCGCCAGGGTCCGTCGATGTGGCTTGGACGGGCGGGTTCCACCGACCGCGGTGGGTTGGAACATCAGGCCGTAACTCGGATGTGCACGTCAAATGGGTTCCAGGTCTATGTCAGTTGCCACCCGTTGCCACCCTCAAGAAAGCCGGTACCATCCAGATCCTCCTTCAGCTTCATCTCAGACCTGGGATGTGGTGCCCAGTGCGAAAAGGAAGCAGCAGGAGGCGCTG